AGTGGCTCTTTGGGATCAGGGGAGCTTGTATTTCTCTGCCAGAGTGAAGGGCTGTGACACTGGGGAGCGAGAAGGCAGAGAGGAGCACTTTGAACGAGTGCAAGCAGTTGCACATTTAGCCTGTGGCAAGCATCTCCTGCCCTGGAAGTATTTTGAATTATTAAAATAAATCTGCCTTGGCACAGCTGAAACAAATGCGGCTTGCTTTCGTCTGCTGCAAGAAAGTGAATTGCCAATCAAGAGCAACAATTCATTCTTCCCCCACCCCTCCGACTTCCTGTCTTCCTCACAACCCAGCCATGTTGCACTGGGATGGAGCCACGTTCTTTTACAGTACAGTGGTACCTTGGTTCTCAAACTTAATCCATTCTGGAAGTCTGTTCCAAAACCAAAGCGTTCCAAAACCAAGGCATGCCTTCCCATAGAAAGTAATGCAAAATGGATCAATCCGTTCCAGACTTTTAAAAACAACCCCTAAAACAGCAAATGAACATGAATTTTACCCTCTGACGAGACCATTGATCCATAAAATGAAAGCAATAAACAATGTAGTGCAGTCACACAATCAATCAGTCAGTAGCTGAATTGGGTTCCACACAGTCACAAAAACAAAACAAAAAGAGCCGCAAAAACAAAAATGCAAAATAAATAGCAAAAACAGACTGACCTCAGCATAACACTCAAAACGGAAGCGTGACACTCAAATCAGAAGCGTAACACTCAAAACGGAGCATGTTTGGCTTCTGAAAGAAGTTCACAAACCAGAACACTTACTTCCGGGTTTGCAGTGTTTGGGTTCCAAGTTGTTTGAGTACCAAGGTACCACTGTACAGTCCTTGATCATAGAGGTAGGGAACCTTCAGGCCTCTCTGCCAGACCCTTGGCTCTCCTCCCAGGCCACACCCATTACTGCCCCTGTTTTGCACCCTCCTTGAGTGCTTTTGCCTGACTAGAACTTGTCCTTGGACTCTGATAGTGTCTCTTGCTTGTCTGGGTAGAGGATACAAAGGGTGAGAGTATGTGTAAGGTAAAGGGACCCCTGACCATTAGGTCCAGTTGTGGCCGACTCTGGGGTTGCGGTGCTCATCTCACTTTATTGGCCGAGGGAGCCGGTGTACAGCTTCCGAGTCATGTGGCCAGCATGACTAAGCCGCTTCTGGCAAACCGGAAACACACGGAAACGCCATTTACCTTCCCGCTGGAGCAGTACCTATTTATCTACTTGCACTTTGATGTGCTTTTGAACTGCTAGGTTGGCAGGAGCAGGGACCGAGCAACAGGAGCTCACCCCGTCATGGGGATTCGAACCGCCGACCTTCTGATCGGCAAGTCCTAGGGTCTGTGGTTTAACCCACAGCGCCACCCGCATCCTTGAGAGTATGTGTAGAAACTAGCTATTGTACAAAGGTAAAATTCACATATATTGCTCCTCCCACTCTTGCATGTCCCTCATGGGTAAGTGGCCTGAAAATAGTTCCTCAGCCCGGGTACTCAGAAGTAAATCCACCTGAATTCAATTGGGCTCACTCCCAGGTCAGTGGGTAGGAGATGCATTCTAAAACAGCACCCTTAGTCAGCTACCTGGGAAAAAGCCCCCTTGAACACAATGCGGGTTATGTCTGTGTGTGTGCATGGTGAGGATTTAAAACTGTTAAGACTATTTTACTCCCTGAGATAAAAATGCTAAGCCTTGTTAACCCATGCATACTTGCTGCATCCATTAAAACAAGACCACTGATATTAAGGGGAAGATTAGATTAACAGCAGGATTAGTAAAGGTAAAGGTACCCCTGCCCGTACGGGCCAGTCTTGACAGACTCTAGGGTTGTGCGCCCATCTCACTCAAGAGGCTGGGGGCCAGCGCTGTCCGGAGACACTTCCGGGTCACGTGGCCAGCGTGACATCGCTGCTCTGGCGAGCCAGAGCCGCACACGGAAACGCCGTTTACCTTCCCGCTAGTAAGCGGTCCCTATTTATCTACTTGCACCCGGGGGTGCTTTCGAACTGCTAGGTTGGCAGGCGCTGGGACCGAACAACGGGAGCGCACCCCTGCCACGGGGATTCGAACCGCCAACCTTTCGATCGGCAAGCCCTAGGCACTGAGGCTTTTACCCACAGCGCCACCTGCGTCCCCCACAGCAGGATTAACCATTAAGCAAAATAAGCACATGCTTAGGGCATCAAGGGAAGAGGGGCAGCACAGAAATCTTCCATTGCCAGAGTTACCATCGATCATATGGTGCAGCTGAAGCAAGTTCCGCAAAGAAGGCTCCCACGATATGTATGTCACAAGTTCAGTGGGGGGGGGTAAAAACAATATTCAGTTATGCTGAACTTTACAAAATAATGGTAGAGGTCAATATTTTATGGTTTACTATTGTTTCTATTTTGAATTATAGAGATATATGGGAGCACCAAAATCTTTTAAGTGCTTAGGGCCTCTAAATGTCTTAATCCGGCCTTGGATTACAGTGGTACCTCGGGTTACAGACGCTTCAGGTTACAGATGCTTCAGGTTACAGACACTTCAGGTTACAGACGCTTCAGGTTACAGATTCTGCTAACCCAGAAATAGTACCTCGGGTTAAGAACTTTGCTTCAGGATGAGAACAGAAATCGCATGGTGGTGGCACGGCAGCAGTGGGAGGCCCCATTAGCTAAAGTGGTACCTCAGGTTAAGAACAGTTTCAGGTTAAGAATTAAGTTCTTAACCTGAGGTACCACTGTACTGCAATGCGTTATATGTGGGGCTGCCTCTGAAGACAGTTTGGAAGCTTCAGCTGGTGCAGAATTCAGTGGCCAGGGCAAGATGGTTTTTTGGCCAAACTGCAGGAACTGCCAATTAGTTTCTGGGCCCAATTCAAAGTGTTAGCATTGCCCTATAAAGCCTTAAAAGGCTCCAGACTGCAAAACCTCAAGGACTGTCTCACCCGAACCCTGCGATAGCCGTCTGAAGCCCTTCTTCATGTGCTTCCTCCATGAGAAGCATGGAGAGCGTCAACACAAGAACAGGCCTTTTCTGTAGTGGCCCCCTGTTTGTGGAATGCTCTCTCCAGAGAGACTTGCCTGGCTCCTTCATCTTTAGGCACCAAGCAAAAACATTTCTTTTCAGACAGGCCTTTGGCTAATTAAACTGGGGTGTAAATTGTTCTTTTTTTAACAAAAAAAAACCCCCACAACTGTTTTTATTGAAGGATTTTCACAGACAACAAGGGTACGTCTATCTCTGCAGGGTGTATTCTGTTCATTATTCTGTTGTGTATTTTTTGTAAACTGCCCCATGATCCTCGGATGAAGGGTGGTAAAGAAATTTAAAGAATGACATGAATGACTGGAGTTGCTTTGAGTCTAAAGTTATTATATCATTACTTAGGAATGTTCTGCAATGTTACTAATCTTATATATACCATGCTTAACATTTTTGTGTGTGTTGTGGTTTGTTTCACTCTGCTCGTTTCCCAATCTATCAAATGTTTTATTCTTTATTTTAGGGGTCTGTGAGCCAAGTTGAACCACTTGAAATACAAAACTAATGAGATCCCTGCTGGATTAGACCAAATGTGATCCAGCATCTTGCTTTTCACAGTGGCCAATCAGATGCCCACAAGTTGGGCATGCAGGTAATAGCCCCCGCAATGTGTTGCCATCTGACAAATGTTAGTTAGTGGCCTATTGTGTGTGTCAACTCAATGGAGCTTACTCTTAAGTAAGTGGTGTTATGATGGCAGCCTTCCTGCTTCTGACCATAGAGGATCCACACAACCAATAACAAATAAAATACTAAATTGACTGAACCCTTAATCTACCAGGTTCCACTCCTGGACATGCAAACGTAGGTATAGACTCCACCCCTTGGCCAATCAAAATTTCCTCTCTGGGTATTTTTAAAACCCATATTGGCAACCCTTGCGAAGTTAAATGGCACTTAGAATACCTAAGCATAGAACTGCATGTCTCCCTTAGCTGAAAACCTCATTCTCACCTAGGAATATGAACCCAGTCCTATGCAGTTGGCCCTGTAGTAAGTTTAATGAGGGTGGCATCTTATCCTCACAACAGGTAGTGAGGCAGGTTAGGCTGAGAGATTATGAGTACTGGCCCAAGGTTACCAAGGGAGCTTCAAGTCCTAGTCTAACACTCTAATCATTTTACCTCACTTGGCTCTCTTTATTCACCCAAGGAATAAAGATGTTCTTGGCACTTAAATAAGGGGACAGTAGGCTTCTATATCACACAGTTTGAGAAGGTGCAGTACAACCCTTAAAAGAAGGCTCAACAAATCATTCTGGGAGTGAGAGTAAGGGATTTACACTAACATGTCCCTGTTTTCAACACGGAAAGTGTGAAGAATGCAGGAACCTGAACCAAATCCACGTGCGCGCACACACACACACAAATGGACATGAAATACGCTGAGGACGGGCAAATTCTTCTCACAGCGTGGCTTCCTTTTAAGCAAATATAGGTGCGATGGCGCTGTGAGTATCGCACCTTTGGGTTAAATGCTAACCCCCAGGCGCTTGGAGATGGTTGATAAGAAAAATGGAGGACAGCGGAGGAAGGGAGGGGGACTCATGGAACGGCCAGGGATTGGTCCAAGGACTGATCCTGGCACCTCGACGGCCTAAACCAGCCGCGTTGGGAAGCAGTCCAAGGTGCCCGAAGCCTCGCTCGCGGAAACTGCAGCAGCGGCCCCAATGCTCTCCCAGAAGATACGCGCGCGCCGCCGGATCCCGTGAGCCCCTTTCTTCGGAGGTCGACCGTCCCTCTTAATTCCATGGAGCTCTCCAAAAAAGTGCGCGTCGGATCGCAGCCCCGCGAGCCCCTGGAGGCGGAGAGCGAACCTCCGTGAGAACGGGCGTGGGGGTGGGTGCCTTACCCCCAAGGAAACGTGGGTTCGGGTCGTAGCCAATGGCTGCTTCTGGAAGAGGAGGAAAAGGAGGCGCTGGTGGCGGCAGCAGCACACCACCGCCTCGGTTTCTCGCTGCCCACCGAGGGAGCGTTTTCCCGAGACTGAGCCGGCCCCTCCTCTTTCCCCTTAGCGCCGCCCTCCTTCGCCTCTCGCCGCCTCCTCAGCCGAAGGACTTCCCCGGCTGGAGCTGTGCCGCCTTCAGAGACGAGCGAGAGCGGAGCGGCGGCGGTTCCTCGACGTGGTTTGCTCGCCAGTGTTCGCGCTGCTTGGAGAGGCTGGCGCGTAGCGCAATCCGGAGCTGGATTTTATTATATTACCCTTTTTAGAAGAGAAGAGGGAAGGGGCGGGCGCGGTGAAAGGGACCCACTGCCAACAGGTTTTCTCTGTTTTCCTGCGGCCCGAGAAGGGAGGGCTCCGTCGCTTTGGCTTGCATCTCCCGCTCGCTTCCCCGAAGGCGCGCGGCTGCGCTGCGAAGGGAGCCCGGCGCGCGTAAAAAAGTTGGAGCGTTTGGCTGCCTTTTTCTTTTACACCTTCGGATCTGTCCTTTATTTTCCTTTTCAAATCCTTCCCCTCTCGCCCTCGCCTCCCTGCACTCTCCCGCCAGGAAAGCGAGCCGGAGAGCAAGGACGTACGATGTCCTCCCCACTGCTTGCCTCTTGACGCCCGAGGTGGCGGGCTGGCGGTGGCGGCGTGGCCAACAGCAGCTCCCGCAGCAGCAGCGGCGGCGGCGGCGGCGCTACCCGGAGGCCGCGGAGCTCGGATGTCGCCGCCCTTCTCTCTCCCGCTTCGGCTCGGCGGTGCTGGACGCCCTCTGCCCCCTTCCTCTGAGGAGCCTCGGCAGCTGCAGGAGGCGGCGGTGGCGGCGGACTAAGCGCAGGAGGGATGCTGTGGAGCGGGCCCCCCCGGCAGAGTGCTTTCCCGCAGGAGATGTTTCTGATGCTCGCCTTCTGCCTGGCTTCGCGGCGGACCCTGGCAGCGCCCACTCCGACCGCTGAGGACATCACGCTGGGAGTTGTGAGTTGGCACCTGCCGGGCTCTTCGTGGGGTTTTCTGCCCGGGGAGGGAGAGGAAAGGGGGGGGCATCCGAAGAAACAGCGCGAGAGAGTCGTACGCCAAGCAGCTGAAAAGGGCTGTCAATGGCTGCAAGGATGAAGTTGGCGGCTGTTTTTTTGGGGGGGGGTGTATTCTCTTTATTTAATCTCCCACGCCATTCTGATCATCAAGGGAAGCCAAAGATCCCCCCCGCCTCACCCGCGAACCCCATTCCCAGCGCCGCTTGTGTTGGGCGTGTGCGGAGCTTGCTGCGCGCTCTGGGGTATCTGCGGGCGCACGATCAAACAAGGGCTCCTCCTATTTCCTGGGGGGCGTGCGCGGGTTTTTGTGGTGTGTGTATGTTGGAGGTGCCGCGGGATGGAGCTGGTCACCAGCGGTAAAAAGAGGGGGAGAGGTTGCGTGAGCGGGGGGACAGGTTGTTGCTTGCCAGCGCGGCGCGGGTTACTCGAGAGGAGACGACGCAGCTCTCCAAGAAGCGTTCTCCTTTTGTGTGTGCGTGTGTATGCGCGCGTGTTTGTTTTGGATTGCAGCCATCCTCTGGTCTGACTCCTCGGAAGTAAGTCTCAGTGTTCCTTCAACGGGGACTTTACTCCCGGGAAAGGGCGCAGGGATCTGCCGCTTTTGCAGCGCAGTCTCTTGTCTGAAGTAAGTCCCGCTGTTTTTAGAGGAAGGATGGGGGCTCACCACTAATAAATGTGGGTGTGCGGTTGCGGTCTGAGTCAGCCGCTTGGTGGTGGCGGCGGCGGACAGAAAGTGGGAAAACGCTGCAGTTGGTAGTGGTGCCCACCAGTTTCCCCAGGCTTTTAAATCCCTTGCCTTGTGGGGTGCGGGTGGGGCGTGTTTAGGAAAGCAATGGTCTTGCTGCCCCTTCTAGTCCTTTGCTGATTTAGTAACCTGTTGGCCTGCTGTGAAAAGGCAAAGAGGAAATATCTCTGTCTGTGGTTAATACTAATGGTTAAAAAATTTATGCCACTATTGTTGTTATTTGTCTGTGTGTGGTTCTTTCCTCCTTCACTGCATGGTAGGCGTTAGGCAAAGATGATTCTGGTTCTTGGTTTTTCAGTCAAAGACGTCAAGAAGGCTCCCCCTCAACCAACTGATGCCCTGGAATCAACCCATCCTTATTTGGGCATTTGTTGGAATCTCTTCCCTAACCCGGGTCTGTATATGTGCAGCAGAAGCTATTGAGCCTATTGGTGATGGGTGGTTATCTCCCTTGCTGGCCTAGCTCACTGGCCAACAACTGGTGGGTCGCAGCCTGATCCAAGATACAATGGGTCTCCAAATGCGTGTCTGGGTTCAAAGTGGGCTCTAGGTCTGAGAAAGTTGGAGTTACCTGGCCTAGATAGTTGCCACCTTACTGCTAGCGGCATCCTCCAGAGATGCAAAGCAGGGCTGCCCTGTACCTTATAAAATGACCAATTTCTGTGTTTATAGGAGTTGCCTTGTTGAACTCATGGCCATTTTAGGGGACAGAACTGCGGTTTGCCACAGATTCTGCCTGCCCCCCTTGGATGATGACTGTGCTCTGTAATAAACTCAGTCACCTAGCTGTAAGAACCTTGTTGTCTGTGAGAGCCTTGTTTATCCAAGTAGCTACTGTATTGAATTTCAGGGCAGTTGAGGCGGAAAATCCCAAAGTGAGAGGCAATCATATTGAAGTATGAGATAGCAAGCCTGAAACTTTCCGAAGCCAGTTTGATTGATGATTCAGAACTGAGCAAAAACTTTCATTCCGTCTTTATGGAAACGTTTGGCCAGCTCAGAGGAACTGGATAATAATGGTCTTGGTTTGGCCAACTCTGATCTGGTGGAGAGAAGACTTGAGTTGAATGCTGAGCTCTATATATCCTAGAGAGAGACATGCAAGCCATGCAAGTCAAACACTGAGTTGATCTGAAACCTTCATGAGTGTGTGCAGGAACTAAGCCTGGTGTACAAAGGTTGAATTTGCATCCATTGCTCTGACCACTTTTGCTTCTGGCCTTGCCCAACTCTGACCTGGTGCTCTCAGAAGTTCGCCTAGAAGGGAAAGTGTCCCTCAGCTGGAAAATGGTCCCCCATCACTGCTATAGATCTATGAAATAAATAAACACAGGAAGTGAGTCATAAACCAAGATGCTTCTGGTTTGATAATTGTCTCTGATGGATGCACCTGGTGGCTTTAACCAAGATAAATTTGTGAGACTGGGAGAAACTCTCACTTAAGTGGTGTTAACAAATTCTGAGACAATGGTCGCTCAGGTGGTATAGCTGTGCTCCATATTTGATTTTAATAATAATAGTAGTAGTAGTAATACAAAAGCCAGCAGCTAGAGTGTTTCAGGACTCTCCCTATGTTCCGAACGGGTAGAAGTGTTTCTTATTTCTGCCCATATGCTCCTAGGAAGGCAACCCAGAAATCACAGTAATTAAGATAATAATAATAATAATAATAATAATAATAATAATAATAATAATAATTTTATTATTTGTACCCCGCCCATCTGGGTGGCTTCCACAGAAACCAAAAATACAGTAAAATCACACATTAAAAACTTCCCTGTTGAGATGTCTTCTGAATGTCAGATAGTTGTTTATTGCTTTGACATCTGATGGGAGTGCGTTCCACAGGGCGGGCGCCACTACCAAGAAGGCCCTCTGCCTGGTTCCCTGTAGCTTTGCTTCTCGCAATGAGGGAACCGCCAGAAGGCCCTCGGCACTGGATCTCAGCGTCCGGGCAGAACGATGGGAGCGGAAACGCTCCTTCAGGTATGAAGATATGAAAAGTATGAAGATATGAAAAGTTATGGGACATGGTGTGGATTTGCTGGGGATCACCTGTAACTGAGACCCCATCTCCAGTATACATTTAAGCAGTATCGTACTACTTTGAGCAGTGATTGCTCCCCGCCCTCTTGCTGCCAAAGCATCCTGGGAACTGTTCTTTGGGAAGAGTTCTTAGGAGACCCCTATCATCCTCACTGAGCTACAATTTCCACGGAAGAGGGATTAGCTAATAAACCTGGTCTCCCAAGTTCTAATCTGATACTCTACATGCAACATCACATTGACTCGCCGGCTCTAGGTGCGCATGCTTTGAATCTCTGTTGGAATTCCTACGGATTATTCTATTCCCCCCCCCATGTCTTTCCTTCCTAGATGTGCTGGTGCCAAGAGACTTCACCTGACATGAGATTTGATGTACTTTTCAACAAGCTTCTTATGTAACTAGCACGTTACCTAGTTAACTTTTAGCTGGTGGTTTGCATTGCTGGGCAAGCTACGCTTGACTTTAAATGTGATTTAGTGACGAAATGTGTAGAGGGTTTTACAGAGGGTCCCAGGTTCAATCTTAAGTGCCTCCAGGAAGGGCTGGGAAAAACCCCTGCCTGAAACTTTGCGAAGCATCTGCCAGTCAGTGCAGACAATACTGAGCTCAAGGGGCCAATGATCTGACTCATTATAAGGCAACTCCCTCCAATGTATGGTTTTCTCTCCCCCCCCCCAACCAAAAACAAATGCAAACTTCAGAAGAGGTATTTTCCTCAGGATCACAACAGGGAAAGAAAGGGTTAAACTCCCTCTCCATGCCTCCTCTCATCTTAATTATCAGCTGCCCCCCAGGAGATGCAATTTGCATGTAAAAACAACCAGTCTCTGCGCCATAGTTGCAAAGATGCATTTAGTGTCAAGTCTGGTTTGCCCTGCCATTTATTGCTCTGTTCCTCCAGTGCGAAGCTTTTTTTATGTAGCGCTTGATTGTGTCTTCAATATTGTTTTACTTTGCTGGTGGTTGTCCTGGGATTTTATTTTATTTTGTAAACTGAAAGACGGCAGGCACATGATTTTTTTTGTTTTGAAACGAAATAGATTGAATTTCATCTTCTATCAGAGACAGGGTTTAAATGGTGTGTTGTGGAGAGGAATGACTTGGGCTTGCTTTCAGATTTAAAGGGCCCTTCCCATGGGCGTGCATGGGGTGTATGCTGGGTGTGCCAGGCACTCCCACTTTTTAAATCAAGGGAAGCAGGCAGAAATGCAGGCAGAATGAAAAGACTGGTTTTAATTTGGAATGGATCTGCAGCTTTTGCCTGGCGGCGGGGTGATTGGTTCCAGCAGCAGCAGTATGGAAGGAAGGGGGACTCCCTGCTCTGCAGGCAGAAGCTGCAGATCCATCCCAGCCTTTTTCTTCTGCCTGCGCCTGTCTCTGTCTCATAGCTCTGTCTTCATCCAAGCTTTGCTCTCATCTTTTGTGGTGGGAGATCTTGTGGTGGGAGATCTCTGTCTCATAGCTCTGTCTTCATCCAAGCTTTGCTCTCATCTTTTGTGGTGGGAGATCTTGTGGAGGCTGCTGTTTTGGCATGCAAGCAAGAAGGAGCCAGTATGCCCGTGGCCCTCCAGAACTGCCCTCTGGTTAGCTTGGCACTGGTCTTTTTCTCTGCAGGAAAATATCCTGTTTGGGCTTTTTGACCACTTGCATGGTCATTTTGTTAGCTTTTTGCCTCTTCTTCCTTTTCAATAAATAAATGAAGATCCCTGGGTGCACATCCTAATGGAACGTGCTGAGCACACCAGTGGCTCTTCCAAATTGCTGAGCGGTCATCATGATTTGCTTGCAGAAAACCTATGCGGAGGTTAAACTATGCCCAGTCTCTATTGAGCTTCCGTTCTGATTTGTTGGCAGGGAGGTTATATAACAGTGCTCATTCATCCTGATTTGCTTGTGTGGGGTTTATTGGTCTTACTGTTAAGCATTCATCCCATGCTTTTCAGCGTGTTCCCCCCATTACTTTCCTATCCACAAAAACAGTGTTGAATTTGTTGTGCTGGGGTGACAGAGCGCTTTAATCCACTTCAGTTGTGCAAATCTAAATTCCCAGTGTTCACCCGATTCCCTCCTGCAATATACTGACTGTCTGGAAGCAACAAAAAAATTGTCCAGTAGCACCTTAGAGACCAACTAAGTTTGTTCCTGGTAT